TATATATATACATATATATACATATTTTTTATTCTCCTTCTCTCTAACATTCTGATATCCTATGAAAATAAGATAAAATGTGTATCAAATCTTTACAATCAGAAATTCACCTTTCTCTCTTGATTTTTCAACTCTCATTAAAAAATTAAGCCTTGGGCTACTGGATCTATAATTCTTATATAGACTGTCCTTTCTGCTTACAAACATGGAATTGGTTTCCCAAATCTATATTCTACATCCTCTCTGAGAATTCTGTTATATTTTTTGTTAGGTAAAAGTACCAGCACTCACCATTAACTGAACTTTTTGTTTAAATTCATGAGTAATAGATGTTCTCCTTCACATCATTTTAACATATTCTTATTTACGTCTACATCATCCAATACTTCCTTAAATACCTTACCAAACCTTCCCTCTAAATAAAATCACACATATCTATTAAGTTACTGATCCATTCTCACACAGAACTTACCCAAGCCTCTATGATGTGTTCCTATATGTTGTAGTTTCAACCCCGTAAGCATGGGCATCATACCCTTAACATAGACCCCTGTCTTTAACGAGTAAGACTGAAAAAGAAAAAAAACATATATATACTCCATGTTATAATATATTCACCAACCTGGAAATAAACTAAATAAAAAATAAACAAAAAGACACAATTAGTACTCCATATCAATATATATATATTCATATAAGAATCTTTATATCTTATGTAACACTACCATAAATTTCTATTCCTTACGAAATGACCAATTTTTTCTGATAAATTTCTAATAACATCATTCAGATATCAGAGGATAATCTTAATATATAATGAGTAGAATCACAGTAAAAAACTATACACGTTAACTTCCTCAGAAATTGTCATATAAAGGTCAATAAAAAAACATCATAATATATTGTTATACCAACAATTATTGGCATACGAATGATCAATTGTCTACAAAACTATTCAGACATAATTCAGTCAAACCTAAACCTCTAAAAGTGACATCCAAAATGACAAAAAACATGCATAAGCATATATATATATACATGAATATAAATAAATAAATAAATAAATATATATATATATATATATATATATATAATGTATACAATATATATATATATATATATATATATACATATATTTCATATATATATACATGTATAACATATACTTTTATATATCTATATGTATACATATTTATATGCATACATATCTATATGCATGTATATCTAAATGCATACATTTTTATGCACATATATTTTTGCATTTATATATTTATGGGTATATATACATTCATATATACACATACATTTATGCATATATATACACATTCAAGTGTATATATATATAAATANTCGTGTGGGAGCCGGTGTGGGTTTTAAAAATATATCATAATGCAATTTGCGTGTTTGTTTGCACTTGTCATTATGATAATTTTGGTGTCATTGTGTGTTTCATTTATTCTTATTTTTCCTATTTAACTTTGTGTTTGTATGGTGGGATTTCTTCTATCTTCTTGATTGCTTCAAGGGGGATTTTGTGACTCATCTGTGATTATATCTGTGTCTGATTTCTTGATTAAGCTTATCGTGTGATTTTGGTGTGATTTGGCTGGTGTTCCGTTTCGTCCACGGTCTGTCCGTGTGGTGATAGAGAGGCATCACCAACTAATGGGACATAAGGTGAAAACACTGAAAAGAGAAGTGATGACAATGCTTGTTAAATCGTGCATCATCATACATGTTTTTTTTTTTTTTTTTAAACAACGCTCTCTCTCTCTCTCTCTCCTCTCTCTCTCTCTCTCTCTCTCTCTCTCTCTCTCTCTCTCTCTCCTCTCTCTCTCTCTCACCACAGCACACAACACAGACTCACACATACACACGCCTCGGCACATTGCAATTTCCGCATGCAAGCAATAAATCCTGCATTCCCAAACCATTCCCAAGCCGCGCCTTGCAAAAAAAAGCTTTATTGCAGCAATTATATATGCAATATTCTATATCTCACGATCGAATATATATTAGTTTTTGTATAAGTAAGGGGCCTCTCTCTATTGCAATTCATGAAAAAACAGTCACTTTACCTAGTTGCATTAACTGAAAATAATTGTATCTTTATCATTTTTCTTATCATCACTATATTTTTTTTATGATTAACGTTATGAAATTCCTTACCATTCCATCCATTAAAATCATTATATCACCACTACTTGGCATTATCATCCCATCTTTAACTCTAACTGTAAGCAATATCTAACATAATTATCATCAAAATATGATCTTATCGTTATATTCATCATCATAATTAGCATTCAATTATCAAATCATTATCATTATATTCATCTCAAAACACCATCATCATTATCGTTATATCATCATCATCATCATTATACTTCATCATATCATCAAAATCATCATTATATTCATCATCAAAAATCACCATCATCATATCGTTATATTCATCATCATCAATCATCTAAAATCATGAACTGAAGCAAACACAAGATTGGCGCTGCCTCTGTTTGCCCGGCCGCCATTTTGAAATTTAGTTTATTGAAATCTCTATCCATATGCAATCTCGAGGCTGACAAATGATTTGCAATTAAGCGGAACCCACTGCATATATTCATAGATGCATATTTCTCTCTCTCTTCATCTCTCGTCTCTCTCTCTCTCTCTCTCTCTCTCTCTCTCTCTCTCTCTCTCTCTCTCTCCTCTTACGTCTCTCTCATCTCTCTCTTCTCTCTCTCTCTCACTCATTTTCTCTCTCAATCTTTTTCACGCTCTCTCTTTCTCTCTCCCCTCTCCTGCTCTGCTTGATTTTTCTGTCTCTCAATCTTTTTTTTCTCTCTCACTCTCTTTCTCGTTTCTCCTCTGCCACTCTCGACTGTCTTTCTCTCTCTCACTCGTCATCTTCTCTCATCTTCCTCCATCTCTTCTCCGCTATTCTCTCTCTCTCTCCCTCTTTTCTCTCGATTCTCTCTCTCCCTCTCTCTTTCCTTCACCCTTTCTCTATTCTCTTCCCCCCTCGTCTCTTCTTCCCTCTCTCTACCTCTCTATGTCTTTCTCTCTTCTCTCATGTGGTCTCTGTCGCACACTGATCTCTCTCCTCTCGTCTCTCTCGATCTTCCCTCCCTCTCTCTCGGTCTTGCATGTTTCTCTCTTCCTTCTCTTCCCTCACCCTCCCCTCTCCTCTCTCTTTTAATCATCTTCTTATTCTCTCACACATACTCTCTCTCTCTCTCTCTTCCTTCTCTGCTCTTCTCTCTCAAACACACACACACTCTCTTGTCTTTCTTTCTCTCCATCTTCCCTTCTCTCTCACCTGTCTCTTCCTCTCGGTTCTCGACGCAATCTCTTTTTTTCTCCTCTCTCTCTTTTCTTCTCATCGAGATTCTCTCTCTCTCTCTCTCCCTCGTCTCTCTCTCTCGCGACTCTCTCTCTCCTCTCTCTCTCTCTCTCTTCTGTTCTACTCCGACTTTCCGTCTCTATCTCTTTCTCTCATATACCTCTCTCTCTTCTCTCTCCTCTCTCTCTCTCTCTCTCTCTCTCTCTCCTCTCTTCTCTCTCCTCTCTCTCTCTCTCTCTCTCTCTCTCTTACTTTGTGATAAAAATGTCAATGAAAACGATAGCAGGAAAAATGATGTTTCGTAATTTTCACTTTGCAAGATTTGTAGTTGAGGGAAACAGCAAAAGCAAACACTGATCTAAATTTATCTGACAATGCAAGTTACGTTGAATAAAAAAAGATCAAAGAACTCCCTAGCCTTTATCCTTGCGCTAATTATATGCATCATTTATCAGTTATAATTAAGTCAGTAATATAACTACAGGTCTATAATCACGTACTAAAAGTGAAGCACGTGATGGTAAAATTATGTACATTTATCCACTGTTTTACATAAAATACATGACAAAAAGTTATACGACACACATATTTGTCGCACACACACATATACACATACATATATGTGTGTGCAAGTGTGTCCATATGTACATGTTTTTTGTTGTCTGTACGTGTGCATTTACAATGGCGTGTGCACGTGTACATACAAGTTCATGTGCGTGCGTGTGTGTGTGTGTGTGTGTTAGCCATCACTCTTCGGAAATCCCTCATAAAGCAAGCAGAGTATCGAGACACCTGTCAGTTAACCCCGGGGCTTTGTGTGTCAGGGAAGTAGACAAAAGACTCTCCATAATGAATCCTCCTCGCTTTAATTATCAGGTCATCGCTGCTGCTGCTGCCTCCTCCGCCTCGCACATGACCCTTCGTGACCTTTTTAGTGACCCCCCTGTGGAGCTTATGGTGCGCAGCGTGTCATGGGGGGAGGCACGGCTGCGGCGGGTGAACAAGCAGTGTCTGACGCGGGTTGTCGTCCTATATGTTGTGTCAATAACATGTGATGTGAATATCCCTCGTTGTGTGCAGTGGGATGGGCCGGAGGAGGGCCATGTTGACGCTGCGAGATGTGAACAAAGGATGCGGGGCTTAATGGCGAATGAGGACAAAGGGGGATGTGAAGGAAGGGGAGATTGCGAGAAGGGAGAGGCGGATGAAGGAGGGATTAGGAGGGGGCGATTAACATGATGTGGAAGAAATTGGGAAAATATAGATGATTCTGAAGATAAATATGAGGAGGAGAGGAAGACGAAGAAGACAAAAGAAAGGACAAGGGAGTGCAAGAAAATGAAGAAGGTGATGCTGACGAATATGAATAAGAAAAAGGAAAAGAAAACTCAGAAGACGATAAAAGAAGGAAAAAGACGAAGACAATAGAGATAAAGCAGAAGATAATGCTGACGAAGTAGAAGGTAATGATGAAAAAAATTAAAAAAAAAGAGGAAGAGGAAGGATAGGAAGAAGAAAAATAAGTAGTAAAAGGTAATGATGAAAAAAAATATATAAAAAAGAGGAAGAGGAAGGATAGAAGAAGAACAATAAGTAGTAAAAGGTAATGATGAAAAAATAATAATAAAAAGAAAAAAGAGGAAGAGTAAGGAAAAAAGAAAAATAAAAAGAAAGAAAAGCACACATAAAAAACAAAGAGACGAAGACAGCGAGAGATGGAGACGAGGAAGGAGAAACAAGAGACAAAACCGAGAGACAAAGGCGAGACCGGGGCACGAGGGAGCGGATGAATAAAGTCCTCATTCCTTAGATGAAAATGTCTGAATGTCAAGGAAAAAAAGAGGTAATTGTGAAAGTTTTGAAATGTGTCTGTCCATGCTAACAAATAAGAGGAATTGTTCTGCATTACCTTTATGGATGAGCCAAAGGATTCTTTTTTTTCTCATTCGAGATAGAGGGAGCCATCATATCACTGCGAGTTAACCAACCCATTAATATGTATGTATGTATTCATGTACGTATGTATATACGTATATTAGTAATAAGGGAAGTAGGTACGTGTATGTATGTATGTGTATATATATATATATATATATATATATATATATATATATATATATATATATATATATATATATACATATATATATACATACACACACAAATATATATAAACATATATATATATATATATATATATATATATATATATATATATATATATAT